GCCAACAAGGGTATTCCAGAAAGCATGGACGCTCATGCTTCTCAAATTTCCCTACTTATGCCTTTCATGGAATCTGAGCTTTGGAGTAATCCTGCAGAAGGAGCAGGGTCAGCGCCGGCCAGCAGCCCACGGGCGGAGTTGGGCCAGACAGGTGAATCTCTGCAACCTGCCTGCCCGTTCTCGCCTTCAGACAGGCTGGCTGGCTTATGCCAAAAAGGAAACTCAGAGAAGAGATGACGCCCTAAAGGAGCTGCTTTTAGAACGTGTAGACAAAGACCCCCTGGACCCCCGACACAAAAACTTGCAGGCACAGGGGGAAGGCTTGTGCTGGCGAGGTGCTCGCTGGGCGCGAGAGGCGCAGTCTGGTTTTGATTAAAGAGCCATTATTTACTCACGTCAGGAACGATGCTCAGGAAGGCAGATGTGGTCACATGACCACGGGCTGGTGTGGGAGCCGTCAGCCCTGCCAACCCTGAGAGTCACCACGCACTTATGCGCGATGGCCCTGACATGGCTGGAAGACCTCATTAAATTCCCATGATGCTCTTACTGAAACAGACATATCTATTTATCACAAGATTTCCTTCTTCCTCCCAGGAAAACACTGAGCTCTAGGCTTTCAGGCTGGGCAGGTTACTCAGAAGACTTATGAACCTTTTACCCGGGACATGGGAGATTTCAGACTTTTCCCGGGTCTGGGCTTACTATTGCTACATAACTTCTGACTTGAGCCTCAAAATAAAGTCATCAAGAGTTACAACCTTTTTCCTCCCCTTTTCCTAGCTTGACCAGGGAACTTTCTAGAAGTGTGTGTGGTTCAAGACTCCTTTCCACTTGGGAAAATAATGATGAATGTCAGAAAATGGTAGCTGTCATGATGTAACAGGTTTTAAGAACCGATGCTGTCACTTTTAAGAACACTTAATTCGTAGCCTGACACTGTACAGGTCATCATCCCCCTTTTACAGATGGGAAAACAGAGCTTCACGTCAACTCAAGCGGCAGGTTTTCCTGAAATCCTTGCAGCTAGGATGCAGTGCAGACGAACGGCCCCCCTGCCCTGTGTTTCTGCCCTCTGAGCCAGCCCTTATAAAGGACTTCCTGGAATCCTGTTTCAACCAGTAGGGCTGAGGCTTGCCGGTCCAGCCGGAGCTGCGCAGCTCTAACCCCCTCAGCATCTTCACTGACCACACAGAGCAGCTCCATTCCGACCAATGAGGACAGTGCTTTTTGGACCAACCAAACTACAAGAATTTGGAGTCCTCATTGGGATGAGGACAAACCAATCAGGGACCAGGGGTGGGGACTTCTGTCCAGATAAGTCAGTTCTCCTCGGGCTCGGCTCTGGGAGTACACACCCCCTTTCCTCTGAAGACTGTCAGCCATGTTCCTGGGTGGAGCTGAGGCACTGAAGACAGGTCCCTGGAGCGGAGCGGAGCGGGCAGCTGGAGCAGAGCACAGCTGCGGAGCCTGAGAGGGGCCTCGCCCCAGGACCGCCTCGCTCCAGGGCAGCCTTACGGCTGTGCAATTCACAGCCGTCCTACTTCACGATGAGCTATGATACTATCGCGCTGTCCCGCAGCCATGCCATATCACGGGGGAGCTGTTTTGCACCGAATTAAGTTTCCTTCTTCCCTGCACCCTCAATTCAGGATTCCTGTGGGTGTTGAACTGGTGCCAAAGACCATCGGTTGACAACACGCTCGTCAAAACTAAGACATTAGCACCGGCATATCCAGACTGACCTGGATCTCAGCAGCGCTTCCCCTCCTCTTCCCATCGCTGCCCAGCACAGATCCATTTCTCTGGCCCCGTCCCATCCTCTCTACAGTGGAGATGGGTTCTCCCATCCAGGCCTGTCTGAAGTCAGGCTGGGTCAGTTCACCGAGACTGGTCACACTTGAGTTTATATTCTCATTTGCTTGCGTAATTATGTGCTAATAATTAGGGTTGTGGGAATTAGGCAAAGCTGTTTGGGTAGAGAGTAGAATTGGGCCTTAAGGCATGGGTGGGATTGGCAGGGGAGAGTAAAATGGGCCTGGATGGGATTTGGTGGGTGGAGACCAGATGCCTGAATGGGATTTGGTGGGTGGAGACTAGAAGGATGGGATTTGGTGGGTGGAGACTAGAAGGATGGGATTTGGTGGGTGGAGACAAGAAGGATGGGATTTGGTGGAGTGGGGACCAGATGCCTGAATGGGATTTGGTGGGTGGAGACTGGCTGGCATGGCTGGGATTTGGTGGGATGGAGGCGGAAGTCATCACAGGCCTGGAGCAGAGCCCTCCCTCCCCCAGGCAGCACCATGTTAGGCACAGAGACCCTTAGTACTTAATGGCTGAGAAGTCCCAGGCCTGGAAGCTCAAGAACCCAGCTCTTCATGCTTCTGATCACATTCAGCTGCCGGTTCATCGTATGGCTCGGATACTGCATCTGCAACCCCTCCAGAAATGCTGTTGCTGGCTGCACAGCCTGCGTGGGAGGGCCCCTCCCCAACCAACATGCAGGTCTCTGAACGTAGGTCTATCTTCCCAGATAGCCAAGGCCGCCGGCCTGATCCAGAGAGACCTGATCAGATCGCTGGGGACAAGCAGGAGGGGCCAGGGGAGGATTTTGCTGGGCAATGAAAACCTGGATGATCCTGTGGCAGCTGCCTGCGTTTCCCAGGGGATGGGATTTTGGGTGGGAAGGAACTCCGGGCACTTCCTGGGGTCAGGCTGGCCTGGCAGAAGGGGGCAGGGTTATTCTTTGGGTGTTCTAGAGGGAACAGGCTCTGAGGCAGGAGCCTGCCATTCCGGGATGGTGTGGCTTTTGTGCATTACGTTGTTTTAGTTTGTAAACTCACCCTATAGAAACCAACAGGGGACAAGCTAGAACTCAAGTGTTAGAGGTTAACTTGAATTGATGAGCTTAAGGGATTAAAGCTGTGACTTGATAGGCTGAAGTAACTGCTTTTAAATAAGACTTTTCCTTTATCACCAAACCTTTGCCTCTGGGATTTTGCCTTAAGGGTGGTGGCGGGGAGCAGGACCCCAATTTACTGTTTGGTAATGGCGATTTTTTCCCCCTCTCATACAAAAATCTTTAATAAAAATAGCTCTCTCCAGACCCGTCATAGAAGAGAAGTAACTGACTGGGCCACAGAACTGTGCCAGGCCCGAAATGTACCGCTCTGGCTGGCAGTAGACACGTGGGATATGAGCGCAGGGTTGACACATTTCCTTTTTCAAGAGGGGTTGCAAATGATGTCTTTTTAGGCACAACTATTTTTTAATGGTAGTAATTGATCACCCTCCCCACCAAATGACAGTAGAAGGCCAAATAAAACCCAGGCAGCCAGTTAGCAGCCTGTTTTACACACTCAAGATAAAAATAAGTGGGTTCACACAGGAGCACAATATTTGTACAAAGGTGACAGCTGAACGGTTAGTGTGTAGAAAGCCTGCGAGGGAAGCACGGGGCGGGCTCCTGGGGTGGGATCAACAGATGAGGTAAGACCAGGTAAGAGGTGGCAGGAAGCCTTATGACCCTAGCTGGCCAGCTTGCAGTCCCAGGACAGCAGAGTCCTGGGCATTAATGCAAGGGCCAGGTGGGCTGGAGCACTCCCAGCAGATTTCCAGACCCCGAGGACGGCCCTCGCTCAGCCCCGATATCCCATGAGCCTTTTGGCCTCTTCTCTCTGGGCCTGCGGGGTGTCTCTCGCATGCTTCTGCAGGAGTTCCGTCCTCTTCCTCTGTGCAGGTGCCTCCTCGACTTCCTGCAGCAACGCGCAGGGACATGGGCAGGGACTACGGCTGCCCGCCTTCCCCTCTGTTCTCCAGGCTGCCTTCCTTAGACTCCTCCCTGGTGACAGCACAGATGTTGATCTCTTCCTCCTCTTCTTCCTCCCTGTCCTTTTCTCTTCTTACCAGTCGAGCCTCTCTGCTCTCCACTTTTCCACCCATTCAGCTCGGCGTTCTTTTCATATTCCTGTTCGAAAGGTGCAATAACACCACCCTCTTCATCTAGGTAACCGATTCAAAATCAGAAATGAGGGCAATTCAAAATCGATTGCCTTCATGAGCTCAACTCTTGTTTTTCTTGGAGGGGGAAGAGGTTCTTTTTCAAAGAACTCCCTAACGCCAGGCAAATCTTTCGCTGCTCCCAAGTACAGAATCCTGCGCAAATAACATCCCTTTTTTATTACAAAATCAAAAGCATGTAATTCTGTAACATAACTATCACACTCAAGCACACCATATGACATTCTAGGCGAAATGGTCAAATTAAAACTATAAATTATTACACCCTGTTATTACCCTACCAACCACACTTGAGCAGGCGTTACTTCTGCCAGACCCTGTATTTGTAAACTATTTCCTGGGACCTTTTTCTCTTGATGATCCAGCATTTTAGGGCCAACATTTACATAATCAGGACCACCCAGTGTCCATTCCCTCTTAGCAGTTTGTTAATTTCATCATTGAGGTCACAAATTCGGAATTCACCTAAGCAAGCATTCTGAATCTGAGCCACATTTTTAGAGATTTCTCCAATGATCTGTCGTCCCCACTTCCCAGCTTTGGGCCAGTGAGTACCTTTGGAGGCAAAACAGGGTCTTCGTTCCTTCACTTTCCCCCCTCCAACGGAGCTTGGCAAAACCTTGCTAAGGCCGCCATGGTCTTTCCTGCATTTCCGGCCTTTGTGCAAGTAGGAGTGCCAACCTCGGATGTCAGCCAGGAAACTTGACGGCCTCGGGGGGGCCAACCTTGATGGGGATCAAGATTCTAACTGTGAGACAGAGGTCTGATCAGATCAATGGGGTCAAGTGGGAGGGGCCGTAGGAGGAGTTTGCTGGGAGACTAAGGAAAGCAGTCTAGGATGGGATTGGCTGAGAACAGCGAGAACTCAGGTGTTAGAACTTAGTCTTAATTGATAGGCTTAAGGGATTAAAGCCGTGACTTGATAGGCTTAAGTAACTGCTTTTAAATAAAGACTCCGATAGAACTGAAGGTGTTCTAAAATGGCAAACCGTACGGTGAAGGATGCGCACAGTATCCATGGCACAAACCCTCAGTATCTGGTGGAGAAGATTATTCGGACGCGAATCTATGAATCCAAGTACTGGAAAGAGGAGTGTTTTGGACTGACGGCTGAACTTGTAGTCGATAAAGCCATGGAGTTAAGGTTTGTGGGTGGCGTCTATGGTGGCAACATAAAGCCAACACCCTTTCTGTGTTTGACCTTAAAGATGCTTCAGATTCAACCGGAGAAGGATATCATTGTCGAATTTATAAAAAATGAAGACTTCAAGTATGTTCGTATGTTGGGAGCACTTTACATGAGGCTGACAGGCACTGCAATTGATTGCTACAAGTACTTGGAGCCTCTGTACAATGACTACAGGAAAATTAAGAGCCAGAATCGAAATGGGAAGTTTGAACTGATGCACGTAGATGAGTTCATTGATGAACTACTGCACAGTGAGAGAGCCTGTGATATCATTTTGCCCCGGCTACAGAAACGCTACGTGCTAGAGCACTTGGAGCCTCGGGTTAGTGCTCTAGAAGAGGACATGGATGATGTGGAGTCCAGTGAAGAGGAGGAAGAGGAAGATGAGAAGTTGGAGAGAGCGGCATCACCTGATCACCGCCGGAGAAGTTACCGAGACTTGGACAAGCCACGTCGCTCTCCCACGCTGTGCTACAGGAGAAGTAGGAGCCGATCTCCTAGAAGGTGGAGTCGGTCTCCCAAAAGGAGAAGCCCTTCCCTTCGCCGAGAAAGGCATCGGAGCAAGAGTCCACGATGTCATCGCAGCAGGTCCCGAGACAGACGGCACAGATCCCGCTCCAAGTCCCCAGGTCATCACCGTAGTCACAGACACAGGAGCCACTCAAGGTCTCCTGAAAGATCTAAGAAAAGCCACAAGAAGAGTCGGAGAGGGAATGAGTAATGGACTCAGTTTGGATTTAGTCCAAATCGCCTACTGCGGACATGAAGGCGTCTCTCTATGCAGAAGGATTAAGATCTACTCCCGAGGCAGCTCTGAGAATATTTGAGCTTTTTTTCTTTTTCTTTAAACACCTAAAAGTTTCTCCACCTTTTTTTTTAAATGAAAGAGGTGCTGAGTTTTGTATCTTTTTTTTTTAATACTATTCCGTGTTTGAGGGATAATGCTCTCCAAGCGCTGCTTTTGACCCCTTTGTACAACCAACATTGAAGATTTGAGGATGTAACCACCTAGTGATCCTTTTATTATTAAAAACACCCACTTTCCATCTTTCTATAGTTTAGTTTTTGGTTTGCTCCATCACTGGAACTGCTTTCAGAATCCTAAGATTTGTGCAACTACTATTACATGCAAAGATCAAGTGAGTAAAACATATTAATGCCAAATGCTTCCCCCAGCAGTAGCAAGTGACAGTAAACATGAAAACTGATTGGCAGCAGCTTTGTAAGAGTGCAAATGTAAAGCTCCTTAGAGCTTGTTTTTAACCCAGCTGCATCGAACAGTTCAACAAACAGTAAAATTTAGCACCTTTTTAAGGATTCTTATAGTGTTGTTTCTTCTACACAGGCCTTGAATTCCAGATTGAGATGCTTAGTCTTTATTCTACAAGAATTGGCATTCCAGTCTAGCCAGTAGCAGTAGAGCAACAAGATTGAAAATATTTGATGGAGAGAAATGAGCACCACTCAGGGTTCTGACTGGAATTGTTGGAAAATAGTGTTATTCACAAAGCTAGAAAATGCAGCTGGAAGAGACCAGGTTTTACAGGGGCAGTTAGTGAGAGCGGTAGTCATGAGAACGATGCATTCAGTTTAAGTTAAACGTTTAATTTGAGACGGCTATGGTGTACCTAGATAAACCCCAGACAGTTGGAAATAGGGACAGGAGTTGAGCATAGTGATCTAGCCATGAACTGACAATATTTAGGTAATTGTGGATGTGTAGAATTAAACATTGCCCAGGGATTGCGTGTATACATAGGAAAAAACAACAATCACAGGCAAGAGCAACACTGGTGAGAGGAAGAAGCGCAATCACGATTAAAAACTGAAATGAACCATTCAGAAAGAGTTAGAAGAGGTCTACGGATGCAGGAGGAAAGTAAGGACTGAAAAATGTTCCTGGGCATTGATAATCAAGAGGGTATCACCATCTTTGCTAGAAAAGTCCCGTTTACCTGCACTTACCTTTCCTCCTCTAAAAATGGAAAAGTAGTTGAATGGCTTGCAGCAGGTCCGGTCCCAGCAAAAATTCTGAGCACCAACGGCCTCACATGGGATGGACCCAGTTTCTTGGGAGGCCATATCTGGTCACAGAATTCATATTCTACTGCTTGCTTGAACGAAAGGATTTTTGCAGCAGTTTTAAAGTATATAGGCATCGTGCTTGTGATTTCAGATTCTCTAGTGATTCTTCTGGTGATACTTCGGCTAATAAAAGTTGTCCACCAGAGCTATTATTGTTTATCATACAACTATATGTGACTGCCTTTAAAAATTAAATATAAGCACCTCTATTTGCAAAAGACAAACAAACAAACAGAAAACCCCAACTCCTTTCCCTTATCACCAAACTTTTGCCTCTGGAATTTTGCCTCAAGGGTGGCGGCGGGCAGAAGGGCCCCAACTCACTGTTCAGTAGCAGCAACGGCCCTTCAGGTGGGACCCTAGCTGCCTGTGGCTGGTCAGCCCCGAGAGTGGGACTATGGGTTTCCCAGTGTCAGAAGTTCCTTTGCATGCTCACTCCAGGTGCTGGCTGCCTAAACACACCAGGCTGGTGGAAAGGAAATGAGGCCCAGGTGAGGAATGCTTTGGGCGAGCCATTGTATGGGAACCAGGTTTATGAGATTGGTTAACGGAAGATTGGCCTGTGAGTACTCTTTGGAGTAATGGAATTGTGGATACCAGTTTTGATTATGTTCTCAGGTTTTTTTGGGTTTTCTGGCTACAGTTTTTGGCCTGTACATCTGGACCAATAAGGGCGGTTCTGTGCTGGCTCCCGGAGGGAGCCCGCGGGTAGGGTTTTGGAGGACTGAAGTATTTGCTGCTATTATCCAATGACCAAGGAGATGTTGATTAATCATTGTAACACTGTGTGGCCTATGTACATTTTGGATTATGAGGAAAGATGACCCATGCATGGCTCCCTAAGTTATTGTACCATCAGTTGAAACACTATTGCCAACAGACAGATGGGATGAAATCCATTATAACAATGCATTTATATCATTGCATAATAGAATTTCACCAGGGACAGAGAATCACTTGATGAGGGAGGAGGCCTCAAAACCCCTTCCTGGTAAGAGGACACAGGAAGAAAGGGAGAATGAGGAGATAAACCTCATCAATATTCTGAACCCAGGGGACCCAAGATGGTGAGAAGGAGCTTCCTCACCACCACCCCCTCCCCCTAAAGCAGAGGCCATGGAGCCAACAGCTCCACCCCATATGACAAGGGATGGGTCTCCCCCTCAAGGACCCACCAGAGCACCCAGTTTGGCCAGGGAGCATCCCCATCCGGAGCTAGGCAGTTTCCTTCGAGGCAGCACCCTATGGACTGAGTAAGTCAGCAAGGCCGGCCTGCTGGCTGCTACTGGGCCCAGACTCTGTTCTCCACTTCACACTTACTGAACTGGAAGAATTCTGACCACTCACCCAGGAAGGATCCTCAGAATGGCAGATCTTATCGCCTCCATGTTTGCCACTCATCATCCAAACTGGGCAGGTGTACAGGCTCTCTCAGTATCCTGCTAACTGCAGATGAGGGACGGCTGGTTATAAATAGGGCGAACGGAGGGCCAGCGTGTGCACCACGAGGATCATGATGGGGTCCCAAACCCGCTGAGGCAATTCGCTTCACAGAGCCCAAATGGAACCCAAATGGTGGGGACCTAGCCTTTCTGGAAGATTATAGAAAGTGTATACTGGAAGGGCTTAAGAAGGGGGTGCCCAAGCAAAAGAGCCTGAATCTGGTACTTGCGGATCAACAAAGACCAGATAAGGACCCTTTTGAATTTATAGAGAGGCTCTATCAGGCCTATAGAAAGCACTCTGATGTTGAGCCACAGGCACCAGGAAATGTGAGGATGGTGAACATGACTTTTATTAGGCAACATGTCCTGGATATTAGGAGAAAACTCCAGAAGTTAAATGCGGCATTAGGAACGAATCCCTTGCAGCTGGTAGACATTGCCTTTAAACTTTACAATGCCCGGGAAGCAAGGAAGGTAAAGAGGCCACAATGTTCTTAGAAACAGAGAGGCAAGGCCAGAGGAGAAAGCAGGACCCCCCAAGGAAGGAGGAGTGGCCCAGTAGGTGCCAATCATGTGCCTATTGCAAGGAGGAGGGCCAACGAAGGGGAGGTCCCAAACGAAAAGGGAAAATAGCTGGTTGGCAGTGCACTGGGCCCTGCAGAGTGAGCGTGCAGGTGGTTGCTTGGGAAAGTCAGATTCTCTTACCCCTGAGGCCGTCGCCAACAGGATCGAATCCAAGGGGCTCCAGAAGCTGCGCTGGTATTGCCAGCTGTGCCCGGAGCAGGGCTGGGACGAGAATGGCTTTAAGTGTCATTGTGTGTCTGAATCTTATCAGAGACAACTAGTGCTCACTTCAGAAAATCCTCAGCAGTTTATGGATTATTTTTCAGAGGAATTCAGAAATGACTTTCTAGAACTTCTCAGGAGACGCTTTGGCGCTAAGAGTTCACAACAGTATTGTTTATAATGAGTATATTAGCCACCGAGAGCACATCCATATGAATGACACTCAGTGGGAGACCCTGGCTGATTTTACCAAGTGGCTGGGCAGGGAAGGCTTGTGTAAAGTGGACAAGACACCAAAAGACTGGTATATGCAGTACATAGACAGGGACCCAGAAACTATCCACCGGCAACGGGAGCTAGAGAAAAAGCAGCAGCAGGACCTTGATGATGAAGAAAAAACTGCCAGATTTATTGGAGAACAAGCGAGAAGAGGTCTGGAAGGGAAAGAACAGGAAGCTCCTGTTTTTACAGAATTAAGCAGAGAGAATGAAGAGGAGAAAGTGACATTTAATTTTAATAAAGGAGCATGTAGTTCAACAGCAACATCTTCCAAGTCAAGTTCTTTGCGACCAAGTGCATGGAAGGTGGTAGAGACCGCAGCTTCAGTGAAACGGAAAGAATCGTTCCGGAGCTCAGCGCAACGGAAAGAAAAAAAGAAATCCGCACTTGATGAAATCATGGAGATTGAAGAGGAAAAGAAAAGAGCTGCCAGAACTGACTACTGGTTGCAGCCTGAAATTATCATGAAAATTATCACCAAAAAACTTGGAGAGAAATACTGTAAGAAAAAGGGCATTGTTAAGGAAGTTAACTGACAAACGCACAGCTGTTGCAAACATGATCGACTGTGGAGACAAGCTGCAACTTGACCAGGCTCAGCTAGAAACAGTAATTCCAGCACCAGGAAAGAGTTCTCGTTTTAAACGGAGGCTACAGAGGAAATGAAGGCACCTTAGAGTCCATCAATGAGAAGACCTTTTCAGCTACCACAGTCGTTGAAACTGGCCGTTTAAAAGGACGCAGAGTTGAAGGAACTCAGTATGAAGACACTTCCAAACTTGCTTGAGTTTGAAAATTTGTTAACATTAAAATCCTAAAGCATCAAACTGGTGTTTGCCAAGGCATCATGAGACTACTGTGTTAGGGTGTTTCTTTTGTATAAATCAAATGAATGTATTTGAATATTACTGTACAGTTGTTTAGCTAAATTTTTAAAAACTAATTGACTCAAAGTATCAACTATGTAAAATTTTTCTTATTTTTGTTTTCTTTATAATAGTTTCTTGATTTTTTTTAAGTCTTCATTAAAAGAATGGTATTATAAGGTGAAAAAAAAAAATAGAACGCCCATGTAACCACCACTACAGTCAAGATATAAAATACTTCTTCCATGTTCTTTTGTAGTCAATTACACCTCCTTCAGCTCGAGGCAGCCAGGC